GAGATCACTCTTCCTTGTAAACGTAGGGAGCGTTTTCTTCTATGAACTTTTTAGTGATGTCTCTACTGCTTCAAATACTCTTTAGATCTCATTCATACACATTTTTCTGTATGAACCAACTACGTTATTTCCTAACAATGACGCTTAGCTGGTTTTTACAGGTTCGTGCTTTGCTTGTCTTGGCTAAGACTGGGGAAGAAATACCATTGAGCTTAATAACGGACTTGCTCGAATGTGGATACTTCATGAGGCCTTTCCAATGATCGCATACATACAGACTCGGAGGAGTGGATTCCAGACGGGATCGTAGGATATCTTCTTTATAATACAGCTGTGTTAATTATGGACTAAATCTAAATATTTATATTAATCTTACCATCTCTCTTTGAACACGTTCATTCAGATACCGATATGAAACGTTATTCTTGGTTTATTAGCCAGTAAAGCAATAATTGAATGCCATTGAAGCGGTTTGTACTGTTTACAATTAAGTCAGCTTTATCCTTGTTTTATTTTGTTTATCCTATTCTTTGCCTTTATGGGTTTTAGACCTCATTGATTTATTGCTGGATTTGAGGGCCGTTTGAGTTCAGTTTATTTTAGACTCGTGAAAAACCTTTTCTCTCTTGCTCGCGAACACAAGCCATCGATTATTTTCATCGATGAAATCGACAGTCTCTGTTCCACACGGTCAGATAACGAATCGGAGTCGGCTCGTCGAATCAAGACTGAGTTTCTCGTACAAATGCAAGGTGAGCCGCGGTTCGTAGTCATTTATTGATGGTACTGCTGTCTTATTTTGAACAATGTTGATGGTAATCATACGGTGATGTTGATTGCAGTAATTATGAACATCATGATTAATAGTGGTTATCGCGCGTAATGTTTTGCTGATATAAATTATCATGAAAGTGTTGTTGATGGAAAAGAAAAATCTTCACTGTTACGCAGATTCTGTACGAATTCTGAACAGCTGATTACTTTTTAGAAACGCGTGCAGACTTTCACTGTCATATTAAATATAGTGACGTGTAACGTTGTCGCAGCACAGTAGTAAAGAATTCGGCCACCTGAATTCTGTATAGTATTGAACATTTGACTTCCGCATGGTTCTGATTTGAAATTCATAGAATTCAAACAGCTGCTATATTAGAATGGAAGATTGTCTTTAGCGAATAGTTACAAAAGTATGCATAATAGTAACATCTTCAGTTTCTTACTTCAAAGCATAGAAATCATATTCTTCGTATAGAAAAGGCGCAGATGGTTATCATCAGTGCCATAATAATCGATGCATCGTTTGACGTTATTTTCTTGCGACGCAGTGTTCATAGTAGAGCACATTATTGGGTTTCCGATTTATGATAAAATTATCCTTACCCAGGAGATTCACTTGCGATGCATGAAGGACTCTGTCATTCTCTATTAATATTACCATTACTGATGTTTTATTAGAGTAGATCGTTTCGAGACATTGTGTCATCTTTTTGAATATTATAGCGATTAAGGAGAACACTTCGCGATACTTCGCCTAGGATCTTCACTGCCCTTAGACTTGTCAATGTATGCTCTCAGTGAGGCATACGATGATTTTTTAAACGGGGACGATTTTTTTATTTCAGTTTAAAATCATTACAACCAAGTGTATGACTAGCTTAAGAATTATAAATCACCGTTTCATGTATTCTGCTATCTTACAGCCGTTACTGACATGTACTCTGAAAATGGACGAAAAGCGTTTGATGTATTTTGGTGTTTTTACAGTTGAAATTAGAAGGCTTTCTTTGTCTGATCTTATAATTCATATTTATCGAGTTTTCAGTAATTGCACGTGTTTCACTTCAGGTGTTTCCAATGACACCGAAGGCATTCTTGTTTTGGGAGCTACCAACATACCTTGGATTTTGGATGCGGGTATCAGGCGAAGGTAAGCGTTTTTGTTGAGTCTTCATACTAACTCTTCGCTGCAGATTTGAAAAACGGATCTACATTCCTTTGCCGGAAAAAGCTGCTAGAAAAGAGATTTTCAAGATTCATATTCTCAACACGCCGCATTCGCTGACTGAACAAGATTTTCGAATTCTGGCCGAAAAGACTGAAGGGTGAGTATGCCTTGAACATTATCAGTGAAACTGAGCGGCTCGTTTTTGTCGCATAGAGCATGTATCACGATGGATGCATAGGATAGCTTTAGATGACAATCAACTGTATCGTGTTCAATTTAATTTTTTGCCGTATCGCTTTAAATTCACTTATGATTTTGACCTAACATGAATTAATGGCCTTAGTCAGCTGAACGCCAAGCCAACCATCGAAAAACTGTGTTAGGATCTAGGCTGTCCGGTCTCTCGCTATCATCCTTCCACAGTTATGAAATGCTTAGTTCTCTCAAGCAGGATTTATTGATTGTTTGCACCACGCTCTTGTTTCGACACGCATGTGAGGCCATTAAAACCAGCTAAGCTTCAAGGCTTAAAGGCCGGTTTTAGCGAAATTTTGCGCCAATTAGCATACTTTCGCGTAGGTAGTAGGGTTTACTGACAAACAGCCAGATAGCGACAGCGTCGATCAGCAAACAACTTCCTGTCGTTTCTTCGGATTTACTAGACGTAGTCTCATCGTTTCCTTGCTTCTAGTCGCCTAGAGTACCCTTAGAGCAGGCTACAACTTTATTCTGTCATGACACCTGCAATGATGCGATTCTGTCTATGTGGTGCTATAACATTATGGAACTGTGACCTGTTTAAGGGATCTCTAAGGTTCTTAGAAACCAGGGAACGATGATACGTTGCCTGTACATCCGTAGAGGTGATCAAAGATTTATTTAGCATAGTAATATTTATTGTACTATAGAAGAACAATATTTTCCTATTTTGGGCCACTGTCACGATATTCCATTAAGGTATTCCGGTGCTGACATAAGTGTTGTCGTTCGAGACGCTCTGATGCAACCCGTGCGCAAAGTTCAGACAGCAACTCATTTCAAAAGGGTATGTTCTTCAGTTATGTATCTGTCTTTTATTTTCTTTGTGCATATAGGTTTCGGGGCCGTCGAGGAAAAATCCTGAAGTTATTGAAAATGATCTTTTGACCCCGTGCAGCCCTGGCGATCCAAACGCTATCCCGATGTCGTGGTTGGAGGTACCTTCAGACAAATTGTTGGAACCTGTGGTCAGCATGGTACGCAGTTCATCAATTATTTTTATTGTCATGCAACAGTCAATGAACAGTGTAAGCAGCGTACGATTCAGAAAACGAGTTTCAAAATACAGAAGCAAATTTAGATTATATGCTGTAGGTCTTGTTAGTTTTGTCTGTCGTTCACCTTAACTTCTTTTGGAAATAAATGATCTTTCTCATTGCCTATTTTCCTCAATAGTAGCGTCCTTAAGCTTTCTATTCGCCGAAAGCAGCTATATTCAGACACCTGATCTCAGCAAAGAAAATAAATCTGAATAGTAGATTTTTGACTTTTCTCCTCTGAGAGTCACCCGTTATGGGGAGAATTCGACTGTAATCAGAAGTGATTAAGTGATAAGGCAA